CTGCTGGCCAGTTTTACACGGCTGTATCCTCTGCAGTATCTTAACCCCTTTGTGGTGTGGCAGGAGACGTACATTGTACGTCCCGCCACAAAGGGACCAAATGACTCGTCACGTACACTGTACGTGAGGAGTTATTAGCTGCTCTCCAAGGCTGGTAACCGCGGTTACCATTCATTAATGGATGCCTCGGTGTAGAGGCATCCATTAATGAAAGAGTTAACATTTTTCAGACACCCGATCCCCTTCAAGAATCGGGTGTCTGAGAGTGAAAGCAGAGCGGCATCCGCCGGCTCTTGCCGGCATTCTGACAGCTGCTATAAATCGAGAGATCTCGATGTATACCGGCTTTTTCTTTCTACTTTCAAGAATAGAAACATAATGTTTCTATTCATGAAAGAATGTTTCAGTTTTCTGATAGTTGTTGTAACGATCAGAAAACTTTTAGTGACAGCTGATCCTGAACTGCTGCAGGATCAGTGTCACCAACGTTATTATTGGCTGTTCTGAAGTTTGAAGCAGCCTAATAATAACCAAAAAGTAATTAATTTATCAAGCAGTAATAGTGAGATTAATTCTCAATGGCTGCTTGATATAATTAAATAAAATAAAAATGTAAAAAATGGTGAAAAGTGTAAAAAAAACAAATGTAACAAATAAAAATGATATATTTTTTATACTATCATTAATATAAAAATTAACCTATTACAATGAAAATTTGCAACTGAGCTGCAGATTTGTTTTTCATCCTAGGGGGTTAATTTTGTTTAACCCCCCTCATGACCGTGATGTTCAAAGTATGTCGCTGTCACGAAGTGTGGCACTTAGTGACATTGTATGCCAGATTAAAATGTTAGGTTTTAGTTTTAGGCTGAGAAATACAGAAACCTTTCTAAAATCCTAGGGATGTGAGGTATTTCCAAATGTATTTAATGTTTTTTTTGGTTTTTTTTTTTTTAGCTGTGCTATTTTTCTAAATTCAAAACTGGGGAAAAAGAGTGTTCTTTAAGTTTTTTTTGTTTAAATATTTTATTTGCCTTGCCTGAAGTGAGGTGTTAGGTACACATGTGATATAAATATATAGCCATACCTGTCCTCTAAAAAACTAATATGTGTGGGTACACTTTGTAAGAAAGTATATTACTGACGTGGAAGAATCACACAGCAAAAATTTCAAGTGTGTCAGTAATTTTCAAACCGAAACTAAAAACAAGCTCAGTTATGAAGGGGTTAATAGACATTTTACGATACACAAATAAGCAATTTTTTGTTAATGAATTTTGCTTGAATGCATTATTAAGATTTAACGCCTGAGTTTAATGTCCCTTTACACCCCCATTTATGCTTGCAAATTAGTACTTTCAGTCGCTTTTTTAAAGTGTGTGTTTTCAGACTTGGGAGTGTTTTGGCCGATGGAAAGCTAGTTACTAGGAGGAAAACTGGGTACAAAGTCACATGAGATGTATGTATGTATGTATATACATATATCTAGCTCTCATCTCCATCTATTCCGCCCCAAAAGAAGCTCATCTACTTGTGTAGAAGCTTCAGGCAATGCTCAGGTGTGAACAGACACCCCTGAAAATAAGAGGTTCTTCATGTCGAGGGTTCTTGTGCTTTGGGAAATGCAATAGGCGTGAATGGGGGGGGTCATTCTTTGTATGAAACCTGACATTTTTTTTATTTACATTTTTCTATTTACCCAACTAAAAAAAAAAAAAAAATTAAACTTCCTCTTATTCCTGAACCTAAAAATATATATATACATACATACATACATACATACATACATACATAATGCTTTAATAGGGTGCAGAATAATGTAAATGGTACTTCACTCCCACTCATCCATGGGCCCCACCTGCTTGCCAGTTTTTTTTACTGCTTTATTTGTATTGATGCTTTATTATACCTCCATTATAGTGGGACTAGAGGTCCTGTACTTAAAAATGGTAGACAATCTAATACAGCTAAAGGAGAATGTGTGCATCATTATAGCATGTGTTGTAAAATATATAAAAAGCATGATAATGGCTAAAAGATGCTGCTGACTTCTAATAATCTGTAGTACGTGCAGCAAATTTCATCTTGCCCATGTTCCTTTGAAAACAGCTAGGAAATCTCAATGCAAAAGTTTCCTTTTACAGCCTATTGTTGTGGAACAATGGTGTTTTTCCTGCAGGACACAGTCCTTTTATTATTCACAAACCTCTTATTTATTCATGAGCTAGTTTTAGCTTTATTGAGACTATGGAGGGAATTTTTTGGGGGAAGATGGATATGTTCAACTCAGTCATGTTTTTACTTGCGTTGCAGCTAATAATATATGTTTGTTGCTATATAAATCATTTGATCATGTCCTGTCTTGTGCAGAATGCTACTATAGGCCCATTAGGTGTTGATTTACGTAAAAGGCTTACCCTTATCTTTAAAGCGTATCTTCAGTAGTGATATGACTTCTGTGATCGTCTTCATAACTCTGCTAAAGTCAAAGACCTTTTGTGGACCTGTTTCAATCGGGAACAATTAATGTTTTGATAGTAGGGCAAAACATTTTCCTCTTGTAAAAATCCCTCCCACTGTAAAATAAAATGTAAAGCCTTGTGTCCACAGACCAAAGACATGAATATGCACTTGGTACTTCCACTGCTTTTAACATAAGGTTTAAGAAAAACAAGAGGAAGAAGGCGCACATATTCATATTGATTAACTCAAAAACAAATATCACACTCGCAAAGACAGTTGAAATTGGCCCTTGTAGCAGGCTCTAAGAAAACCGTCCTCCAGCCCACAGTTCATGGCCTGTGGCAGGGTTATGTACACGATGTAGCAGGTCCCTTTGCTCTAGTGCAAGCGCCTGGCTTTTAGCTGGTATACGCGGCATCCTCGTCG